AAGTTTAATTTTCATTGGTGATTTTTAACCACAAATAAGCTGCTGTTGTCCTCCAGAATCTGAAGAACTCAGCTTTGCTAGCACCTATATTTTTGATTTATTTGTATAGTTTTTTAAATTTGAAGAAAATATTCGATCTAAGTTTTGTATATTACTTTAAATGTATACATTATGCTTATAAATTTAAAATACCCACATGGGACATATACAAATTGAAAATACATATATGTAAAAATGTGACTTTTTTTAGCATTTTTGCTCTGCAATTACATGCTGTCTTTTTAATATCTGAGAGACTATAGGGATAAACATGTGTCACTATTTTTTAAAGAGTGGAAATAATGCTACATATTCTTAAAATTACTTATCCATGGTACTATATAGAACATGCTTTACTGTATATAAATAACCTGTGAAGTAAGAGGATGCTAGGGAACAAAATAAAAATTTAACAAATAACCAATTAATGCCAATGTTTATTGAGAGCTTATGCCATGTTTTGTGCTAAGTATTAGAGATATAAAGAAGCCCAAACCAAAGTTCCACCAAGCTTACAATTTTGAGGGTTAAATGAACAAACAAAACCAAGTTCAATAAAATTTGAATAATTCTAAGATTATGATAACGATAGATTGACATGAATATGCTGATTTCATGGGTTATGTTTAATGCACTTAATCAAAATGGGTAGAGTGGGGTAGTGGTCAATAAATATATTCTGGAAAAAACTGATAACCAACTAAGATGCCAAGAATAGGTGTTAACTAGAAATCTCTGGACCTGGGGAAACTACACTGGGTAAGTAAGATGGAATGAACACCACATAGCAATCAAGAAAAAAGGTGAAAATGCCGTTTTGAAGAAGAAAAATATTTTCTGCTAGCAAATAACAGAATAATTTGGGATGGTAGAGTGATATGGTTTGATTCTGTGTCCCCACCAGAAATTTATCTAGAATTGTAATTCCCACATGTCAAGAAAGGGACCTGTGATCACCATGTGTCAAGGGAGGGAGGTGACTGGATCAGGGGATGGTTTCCTCCATGCAGTTCTCATGATAGTGAGTGATGCTCATGAGATCTAATGAATTTGTAAGTGCTTGGAAGTTTTGCTTTAACTCCTCTCTTCCCTGCCACTTGTGAAGAAGTTGCCTGCTTCCCCTTCCGCCATAATTGTACATTTTTTTGAGGGCTCCCCAGCCATACCAAACTGTGAGTGAATTAAACCTCTTTCCTTAATAAATTACCCACTCTCGGGTATTTCTTTCTAGCAGTGTAAAGGTGGACTAATACAATAAATTGGTACTGAGAGTGGGCATTGCTATAAAGATACCTGAAAATGTGAAAACGATTTTGAAACTCAGTAACAGGCAGAGGTTGTAACAGTTAGGAGGGGTGAAAAGAAGACAGGAAGATGTGGGAAAGTTTGGTATTTCCTAGAGCCTTTTTCATGGTTTTGACCAAAATGCTGACAGTGATGTGGACAATGAAGTCCATGCTGAAGTGCTCTTGATGGAGATGAAGAACTTATTCGGAACTAAAGCAAAGGTCATTTTGCAATGCTTTAGCAAAGAGACTTGCAGGGGATTCATAGTCTCTTCGTTTTGACCAATTTCTCCCATTTGGAATGGGAGCATGTGTGCAATGTCTGAAACCCCATGGTACCTAAAAAGTAACTAACTCGATTTTGACTTTATGGGCTCATAGGTGGAAGGCACTGGTCTTGTGTCAGTCAGGCTGGGGACTTTTGAGTTAATGCTGGTATGAGTTAATATTTTTGGGAAAGAATGATTGGTTTTGAAATGTGAAAAAACAAGATTTGTGAGGGAAGAGGAGCAAAATGATAGGGTTTGGCTCTGTGTTCCCACCCAAATCTCATCTCAAATTTAATCCCTATGTGTCAAGGGAGGGCCCTATGTGTCAAGGGAGAGACCTGTAATCCCCAGGAATTGTGGGAGGGAGGTAATAGATTATGGGGGCAACTTTCCTCATGCTGTTCCTGTGATAATGACTAAGTTCTCATGAGATCTAATGGGTTTTTATGTGTTTGGAAGTTCCCAGTTTGCTTTTTTTTTTTCCTGCCAACTTGTGAAGAAAGTGTCTGCTTCCTATTCCACCATAATTGTAAGTTTCCTGAGGCTTCCCCAGCCACGCAGAACTGTGACTTAATTAAACCTCTTTTCCTTTATAAATTACCCAGTCCCAAGTATTTAAAGCAGTATGAAAAATGAATAATACATGGAGGACTGTAGAAATGATACCAGACCACACCTCAGAGGTTCAAGAGCATGAGTTTACATAGTTAGTGGTGGGGAAGACCCATGAGGTAGAATTTCAATGGCCTCTCGTCCCCATGAAGTGCCTGAATGGAGAAATCATTCAATGTAAAAATTTTTTTTTGTTTCCTGTTAATATGCTTCACCTATTTATCAATATTGGCATCACAATGCATTTTAGGTTTTTCACTTGCCTTTCTATTTGAAATCTTTTGTAATCATAATTTCCAGGTGATATCCCATTTAGCTCTTCAAAATCAGGTGACATCTGGAAATTAAATGAGCAAATCATTTTATTTTCCCTTTTATTGGTGGATATTTTAAATAATAAAATAAAACATGCAGCAGATCTATGTACCACTTATTCTGCCTGAATTGGAACCACTGCTGAAATATTTTTTGCAGTCCTCAGTACTGATAAGACTCTTATATATACTGTATATATAAGAGAAAATTAATATATGTACACACACACACACACACACACACACACACACAAGACCACTTTTGCATTCTTGGAGTCCCATAGAACTTCAGATAATGGCAAAATGATCACTGATATTTTAGAATTAAAATATATGCTTCATGTACAGAATTGAATAAAACAATATTGAAAACAAAACCTGTGCATTATTTCCTATCTTTGTGAAAATCCATTAGTTTTCTTGATTATGGGATTCAAGCCAGAAGGATGGTAATATTCAAATAATGTTGTTTCCCTATTGTGATATTTACTATTCAATTAATTTTTTGATGCTGCCACCTCCTAATTGCAAGAGTAATAAGAATTTCCTTGATTACTTTGCATTGCACATAGAGCTGTTTTGAGTGTTCTCAGAACGCAAACTCTAATTAAGAAACTTAGAAAAAAACTGGAAAGTAATTTTACCTTATAATGTTCAGTGACTGTTGAAATTAGGGGTCAATACAGCAACAGTCAAGATTATAAACAAAACAAAACTAAAATTTTTGTATCAAATCCTTTTTATTTTTTATAGTTTCCAGAATTTTTAATATACCTTTTACATTTATTATCTAGATTAATTCTGTGTTAAGTTTTTTCTGTTTTCAGTTTTTTGATAATGACTATGCTGAATGTTTGCACAATGGTTATTGTGCAGTTGATCAGAACTCTTCATATTTGGTCTGATATTATTATAAAAATGCACAAATATGGTCAGAAATACATTACTCCAAAGACTTTATAGCAGATATATTCCTTCACTTCATCATATAAGCCATTTTAGAGTCTGGTATCACTATGAATTAAGTATACAATCAAGTATTCAGTGTGCACATACATCTATAATCTTTTAGTCAAACAACATGGTTAACATGGGAGAAAAGAAAGATAGCCAGAAATCAGTCTAGAGTCTAGTCAAGAAAGTGTAAAATTCCAGGAAGTCATCAAGAACATGTATAAATTCCAGGTAAGCACACAGGCTCTAAAGTCAAACTGCTTGGTTCTAATCTCAGCTCTGCAATTTACCAGCCCTGTGACATTTTGCTTTTCTGCTCTTTTTTCATCTACATAATAGACTTTATAATATTTCCTTCTTAATAGAGTTTCATTAAATATCAATTATTTAATACATAAAATCACATAGAATAGTCTCCAAAATAGTATGTGCTCAATACTTGTTTTCACTATTGTCACTGGTTACAAAAAACTAGAACATAATTCTATTTCTTGTAACTTTAACCAAAAAAATCAGATTGTAGAATATGCAACTACAAATATAAACAAACAAATTTTATCTCCAGAAATAGTTCATTATCTCAGAATTCTACAGTATCAACCTTCTGTCTTGTCAGTGTCTCCTTTCGTTTGCTGTACGTCACAATGTTCTATTTAATTGCCTTGTCCAATCCATAGTTTCTGCTACCTTTTCACATCTCTAACCACCAAATGCTCTCACTTTCCATTTTACTAAACTTAAATTCTGTGGCCTATCATCATAATCTTCATCTTTCACTTATGGACAAATCCCATTAACATCTTCATTTTATGCAAGTAGGAAAAGCACAGGATAATTCCAATTGTTTACTTATTCACATCTTCTTATCATACAGGCATGAGATGCTGAGGACTAGTGAAAACCAATCATTATGAATGACCTCATTTTAATTTCATCACCTCTGACCTCCAATAGGCTCTATACCTGCCAGGAATCCTATAATCTTTCCTTGGACTAATCACTCCTCATTTATCTTAAGTAGATATTTAAATCTTTTTCTCAAACTTCCAACGTGTAGTACTGCCTCCAGACATACAGAGAAGCAAAGCATTAAATGGTTTCGAAGTCATATAAAGATGAAGAGGTATTTTTTTTAGACTGGGTTTCCAAATATGGGCTCCAGAAGAAAGGACACATTAGTAGAAGTACATAATTCAACATGCCATCTATGAGACTAATTGGAATCAACAGTCCTTTTTTACAACTCCGACTGCACCAACACCAGTATTACTTAAAACCAGCGAATTTGATAAATGGTATCTGTACTTCATAGAATATCTGAAGTTGTCATTGTTTTCTGCACTTGCAGAAGCAATCCTTGAGTGTCAGGAAAATGGCTATTTCTTTACTTTGCCTTTCCAAATTTGTTTCAAGTATATTTAATGATGAGAATCTCATTTGAATTCCCACCCAACAAACACCTTGACATTCCTTCCTCCTTACTTGTGTGTCCATGAAACTTACCACATTGAATGACGTGCTGTGTGCTTTGTCCACCTTTGAATCCTGGTGCCTCGGGAGATGCAACCTGAGATCCCCTCATCTTCTGCCTTCACTGTGCACTCTTGTCTTGACTTATTTATTATGGTTTCCTTGTTGACCCTTGTGTGGAAACTTGTTCTTCTGAAGGCTTAGGCCTATGCAGACAGGAAGTGTGGGGAAATGAACTCTTCATGGTGTGAACTTTTAGCAGTTGGAAGTCAACTAGCTTTATTTATCATGCTTTCTGATTTTCACCAGCTCTGCATTGCATATGTCAAGTATTGTCAATATTTTTTCACCTTTCTCCACAAACATCTATAAATACATACAATTTTCTTTTGTTCTTCAGTTTAACACCATTTACTCACAATTAAATGTTTGGATCCATCAAAATTCGAAGTTGGAAGAATCTTTGTGGACAGGAGAATTTATTCCTCCTCATTTCTAACTTTGAGTAAGTCTCAAGAGATTACACAATAAACATGCTGCTCCTAGAATGCTGTCAGCAGTGTCAGATAAACATTCATCATCCTGGTCCATTTTGGGCTTCTACAACAAAATACTCAAAACTGGGTAGTTAATAATAGTCATAAATTTATTTCTCGTAGTTTTGAAGGTGGAGAAGTTCAAGATCCAGGCTCTAGTAGGTTCTGTTGTCTAGGAAATGATTGCTTTCTGCTTCCAAGATGGTTCCTTGTTGCTAAATCCTCCAGAGGGAGGAATGCTGTGTCCTCACATAGCTGGAGACAGAAGCTCAAGCTAGAGCCAAATGGTGTGTGAAGCCTCTTGTATAAGGACCTTAGTCCAACTAAGGAGGGTAGAAACCCTCATTACCTAATCACCTCTTTAGAGCACCACCTCCTAATATCATTATACTGGGCTAGGCGTGGTGGCTTATGCCAGTAATCCCAGCACTTTGGGAAGCTGGGGCAGGCAGATCACTTGAGGTCATGAGTTCAAGAAAAGCCTGTTCAATATGGTGAAATCCCATCTCTACTAAAAATACAAAAATTAGCCAGGTTTGGTGGCCTGTGCCTGTAGTCTCAGCTACTCAGGAGGCTGATGCAGGAGAATTGCTTGAACCTGGGAGGTGGAGGTTAAAGTGAGCCAAGATGGTGCCACTGAACTCCAGCCTGGGTGACAGAGCAGCACTCTGTCTAAAACAAAACAAAACAAATTGTCATATTGGCAACATCTGAATTTTGGAAGGAACACATTCAGACCATAGCATTTATCTCACATTCATTGTCGTGAAAGACCTATAGAAAGTTATATTTCTATGAGATAAACTTCACAAGTGTTATGAGTTAAATTGCATCCCTTCCCCCAAAATTAATATGTTGAAGTCCTAACCTGTAGTACTTCAGAATGTTACTGTTTTAGAGATAAAATATTTTTAGGGATAATTCAATTAAATTAGGGTTGTTAAGGTGCAGTTTTAGTTGAATATGACTGGTATCCTTCTAAGAAGAAGAGATTAGATTGTAGAACACACAGACAGAGGGAGACAATGTGAGGACACAATGAGAAGGCGCACAACTGCAAGCCGAGTGGAGAAGCCTCAGGAGGACTCAAACCTGCTGACACTGTGATCTTAAACATTGAGCCTCCAGAACTGAGTGAAAATAGTTTATGTCCTTCAAACCATTTAGTTTGTTTTATTTAGTTATGGCAGCCTTAGCCAACTAATTAGGTATTCACAAAAAATGCTTAGCAATCACTTAAAACATTTTTTCAGTATTATTTTTACATTTTATTAAGTATGTTTGTCCTCTTCCCATTAAAGAAAAAATTACCTAACAGCTAGTCTCATCAAATAAAACATTATAATTAAGTACTTAAAAAAAATCTCACCACATATATCAAACAATGCACATTTAGGCCGTTTTTAGAAATGTAATTAAGTAGGATATTTAACCAAGAAAATTCACTTTTGTGTAAAATATTGAAGAAACTAATTTTAGAATCCTTTTCTCTATTTAGCATGTTAGACTTTGGGCATGAAAAATACAATCATGCACTTCTAGTATTTTCTGATGCAATAGTTTACATACCTCTCGAAAAAGTACTCAGATGTTGGATAACAGCTACTAGACAGAGGTGGTCATGCTGTATTATTCCTTCGTCACCTTGCCTCACCACTGTCCAAACATTTATAAGCTATTTAGAGTCTATAGCAACAGGTTCTCAATTAAATACAAAAATTGAGTTATTATATGAAGAATAATATTTGTATTAAGATGCAAGATATTACCAAATAATTCATCTAAAGGTTAAATTATAATCATCAATAGAATATATCCATTCTCTACAAATTTTATATTTGCAGAAATTCAAGCTAAAATAAAATATGTATTATTGGAGAATGTGTTCATCATATTTTATTTTAGCTTGAATATCAGTTTAAATTTTTAATTGAGCTGTGTATCCCCCGTGAAAAGGTTTGCGATGCAGAACTTCTAACAATAAAACTATGAAATGGGAGATCACACAAAGTCTATGCAGCCACCTCATCTGTCAGCCATAAGTTTCCACCTCTGGTCACAATGCTTGCCTAGGAATAATGGAATTTGTTTCTCTGTCCCTGTCAACCTTCACGTGATTTAATCCCATTGGTAAACTCTAACATGGAAAGAGATTCTTGGACATATAGTTCCTGCATTCTTCTCTTGATTACAGAGGAGACCTTGGAAGCAAAATTAGGTAGTCATGTAACTCACAAAACACAATTTCTCTTTCAAAGGTTTCGATATTGTTCATTTGCCATCAAGGGACCAGATAGTCTTTGAGAAATAGTGATATATGACATTGGTCCAGGTTAAATACGCAAGGATTGCAAACATTAGTAAATAAATTGGTCTTTGTAAGTATAAAAGTCCCTGTTCTTGGAACCATGCTTAACCTCATCTTTACCACTGTTGTGACTCTTTATATTGGTGTGTTTTGGGGTTTCTAAAAACAAATGAAGTCAGAGGCCAAGGCAGGAGAATCACTTGAACTCGGGAGGTAGAGGTTGTAGTGAGCTGAGATCATGCCACTGCACTCCAGGCTGGGCGAGAGAGCAAGACTCCATCTCAAAACAAATAGAGAAACAAATACAGTCAATATAGAAACAATATGTTGTCTACTTTGTTATCTATGCTGCCTCCATATGCCTCTAACACAGTTCTTCTTGTCCTTGAAGTTCCAGTACTTGTCCTTACAGGTCCTATCATCCTCATTAAGATACTAATATATTCCTAGTCCTTCCTGCTACTGTAGCTCTTAATATTGGTTACTCCAACTGCTAAGTACATCAATCCTAGCAGTACACCCACTGGACCTCATTTATTACATGGTCCCTGTAATTCCCAACTGTAAAAGGGGGTCCATAGTGAGACTTTGGGTATCCAAATTGCATCTGATCCAGGAAAAGAGCAAAGAACCACGAAATTTATTGGGATGACTCTTATCACCCTCTTACCTTCTTCTGATTGTAGATATTAATCAAAATCTTATTTTTAAGTTCTAAAGAAGGCAGCCTCCATGTCACTACAACTCCCAGTGTCTGACTTTCTGACTTTGTGCATTCTTACGAATTCTGTGGTTAGATGCCACCATATGGCCTCTGTTGATCCGGGACTGCAAGTTCTCCATCACTATAAACAAAAAAAACCCTGTGACTACCTCCTCTACCATCAGTCCTGATCTGCAAATGACAGCTAATCTTTTATGATGTTGGCGCCCTACTTAACAGGATATTTCTGATGATCTTAGTGAATAATGTGTCCTCTAGGACCTCTCATATATGACAATCTTCTGGTAGATTTCATGGCCTCACACAACCTTCATTTTATCAAAGTTCCTTTTCTAAGCTTTTAAAAAATTCCTTCCTCTACCATCTGGCATAGAAACATACATTTACACTTTATGCAGCATGGACTGTTATATTTTCAAGGTTTCTACTTAACTCTGCAGTGAATTTGTCCTATACACTAAGGTTCTAAACTGAATGTTAAATCCCGTGTTTCATAAAGGGCCTCTAGTTAGTTGTTTATTACTTATTTCACATTCTAGGTCCCTTGATAAGGAAGTCTCAAAATATATTTTTTCATATTTCCCTTTTAGGCCAAGCATATTGCCTGATGGCTTATACTGGAAATTAATGGTAATTATCTGTGAACAGCTAGGATGCAAGATAGTCCACATTCTTATGGGAAATATTTATATCCTTATGAGGGAGTGGCTTGTAAAGGGTCTTTCCACATGTGATTGAGTCTTTGTCCCCACTCAAATCTCATCTGGAATTGTAATTCTCACATATCTAAAGAGGAACCTAGTGGGAGGTGATTGGATCATGGGGGCAGTTTCTCCCATGCTCTAGTGAGGGAGTTCTCACAAGATATGATGGTTTAAAAGTGGCAGTTTCCCGTGTGTTCTCTATCTCTGTCTCTCTCCTGACACTGTATGAAGATAGTGCCTGCCTCCTCTTTGCCTTCCATGATGACTGTAAGTTTCCTGAGGCTTCCCCTTTCAGAACTTTGAGAAAATTAAACCTCTTTTCATTATAATTACCCAGTTTTAGGTAGTATCTTTGTAGCAGTGTGAAAACAGACTAATACAACATGGTAGAAATGTTAACTTTTACTTAAGAAGGGTGGGCCAAAAACATGTTGCACATATTAAATATAAACAATTTTTTTTTGAGACAGAGTCTTGCTCTGTCACCAAGTCTGGAGTGCAGTGGCATGATCTCGGCTAGCTGCAACCTTTGCCTTCTGGGTTCAAGTGGTTCTCCTTCCTCAGCCTTCTGAGTAGCTGGGATTACAGGCATGTGCCAGCACACCCAGCTAATTTTTGTAATTTTAGTGGAGGAAGGGTCTTCATCTCTTGACCTCATGATCTGCCCACCTCAGCCTCCCAAAATGCTGTGATTACAGACATGAGCCACCGCACCCTGCCCACATCTTGTTTTAGCAATATAGTTTCTCTACTTGCATGATTTAATTAAAAATGAGACCTATTTATTTTCCATTCATTGGTGTGAATTGGGTCAGTTTATGTCAAAAAAACTTTGACCTTGAATAGATAAAACTTTTTTTTTGCATGATCCGCTGATATAAGATGACAAGAAGCATGGAATTCTCTTCAAACTTTAAAAATGATTCAAAGACACAACAGGAAAGAGCTGTGCAATGTTATGAACATCTCCAATTATTAACCAATATTACATAATTATAAGCATTGAAACTGCTGTCTTAAAATTGTTAACAAGAAGGAAAGTAAAATCTTGGTCAACAGTGAGTAAGGATTCTTCCCTAATATTTTGCCAAGATTCCCATTAAAACATAGTCTTGTGACAGAGCAAGATTCCATAAAAAAAGTGTGAATATGTGACTAATGTGAATAACATGTTAGAATACCCCATGTATGTGTTTCTACTTACCTCTCATTTATAAATATTGATAAATTTATTTTTAGTAAGCAGTTTTAGGTTTACAGAAAAATTGTGTGGAGAGTAGAGAGCACCCATAACTCCCTCACACTCACCCCAGCTTTTCCTAGTATAACACCTTGCATAATTGTGTTTATACATTATTGAGTAAGGATTATAGTATACAATAAAATTCACTCTTTATCTTGTACAATCTGTGAATTTTGACAAATACATAATGACAGATATTCACTATTACAATATCACACAGTATAATTTTACTGCCCTAAAAAAAGATCACTTTGTTCTACATATTTGTTGCTTCTTTCCTCCTCCCAAAGCCCTGGCAATCCTGATATTTTTACTGTCTCCATAGTTTTCTATCTCCAGAATGTCATGTAGTTGGAATCAAATAGTGTGCAGCCTCTTCGGATTATCTTCATTTACTTAACAAAATGCACTTAATTTTTCCTTATGTTTTTTTTCATGGCTTCATAATATGATTTCTTTTTAATTCTGAATAATAATCCACTGTTTCTATGTAACGAAGATTATTTATCCAATGACCTATTGAGGGACATCTTGGTTGCTCAGGCACCTTTGAAGTTATAAATAAGGGTGCCATAAATATTTTTATGAATGTAAGTTTTCAGTCCTGTCATGTAAATACCATGTAGTATGAATGCTGAATAACATGGTAAGAATATGTTTTGTTTTCTAAGGAACTGCCAGACTGTCTTCCAAAGTGACTAGCATCTTGAATTTAAACTGGCAATGAATGAGAGTTTCTGTTGCTCCACATCCTCATCAACATTTTCTGTCATCCATTTTTGTTTATTCAACTCTCTTAAGTGTGGCTTTGTTCAAATGTTAGAGTTTCTATATTTTATACTATTTTAAGAGTAGGAAAGTATTTTAAAAGGACAAACATCAAGATTTTCTAGTAATACCCTGGACATCCACTACTGCTGGTCTGGTCTTTTGTGCTGAAGATTATTTTCTAAAACACCCCACAATTCTCACATTTATCATTCTTTTCTAAGTCCAAATCTAGAAATTGTAAATGCCAATTTATATAAGAATAAGCAGAAAACCATGATCATTTTTGAGACACTAATTGATTTCCTGGTGTCAGCCATCAAAATATTATTTCTTTATTAATACTACTATTTACTAAAATTAATCTTTAATAAATAGACTAGATTTATAATGTTTTACACACATGTAGAATTTTGTAATAAAGGCCCTGAGAAGTATGTTTATAAATTACATATATGTAGAGAGCAGAGTGCTAACTTAGTGAGTAAGGTAGAATATGCCTGGGGTATAGCAGAATTCAAGACAAATCTAATCTCAGCTTCCAAGGTGTTTATATTCAGTGCAGAAAAAAGAGAAAGCTTATTAAAAAAAACTAAACTAAAAATAGATTAGCAAATAAATTAATAGATTAACCAAATCAGAAATTACTAATTCTTAAGGACTGTGGAGGAATTCAAAACTAGTGAAGTAATTAAAATATGAATTAATTAAAAAATATCTGGGCCCATGAAGTTATTTTTATAGGTTTTTTTCAGAAATTATTTTTTTATCATCATCATTGCCTTTTGAGTGTCACAGGTCTGAGGAAGCATTAGCAAAAAATCATATCCCTAATCTTCTTTTCTGCTTGTTAAAAACATCTCACATAATTTCAATTCTAGAACAAATATTCTTCTAATGACATTTCTTATAAAGTTTAATTTTTGGCTGATGGATGAGAGAAAATGAATTTGAGAAAATAATGCTCAATAGTGTGTGTAATAGTGTGAATTACACTTGGTAAATAGTGTGTGTAAATATCAAAATACAATCACAAGTGTTTCTCCAGGGAATCAAAAAGTGATTCTGCTAGGGCTTTGGGAGAAGGAAAGAAGAAACAAATAAGTGGAACACAAGATTTTTTTTAGGGCAGTTGACTGAAAATATCTTTATATTACATTTTCACGTAGAAGACTCCAAGGCTCACTGCTTTACTGTTGAATATCGCTACTGGAATATTTGCCTTAAAAGTTTAGTTGTTTTTTTTTTTTTAATGACTGAGTATATTCCCTAAGCTATTAAGGCAAATATTTTAGAGCTATATTCAACAGAAAAGCAGTAACCCTGGTTTAGATTATTCTTTAAAAACATAGCCTAACATGTAGTCTATATTTATATATAATATTTATGAAGTATTTAAAAATAAATAATGTTGTCCAGTTCTTTTCATATATCTGCTCCCAAAGAAGTGTCCTAAACTTTCAAAATTATGCCTGGAAAAGCTTTTTATTATAAAGGCTAGTGTCAAACACACATAATAGATCAAAAAAATTACTTAGACATGGTCTTGTCCGGTTGCCTCTTATTATGTTAAAATACACCAG